ACATATGCTGTCTCTAACATGAGTTACATAACAACCTATAGTTATATTAAATTAATTTGAAGACCTGCATACATAGCTCAATGGAATACTACCTGTCCATTATTTCTGCAAAGTCTAATCTATGAGGACATATGTGCTTTATTTTGGGAATGTCATGGTATTTTCCTTTAAGTAACTTGAAGGGCAAAGCATTTAGTGTGATTAGGGAGGCTGTCTAATACCTGTCATTAAGTCATATTTGTCAGGCAGGAAGAATAGTGATCTTTTATTAATTATCTAAGGGCGGGCATGCTCATATGGAATGCAATATTATTATAAATATCTGCTTTGACAGATGTTAAGAGGTGTTTTAGAACTTTTGTCACTCCCATATATATAAATCTAAACCATATAACAACTGACTAATTATTTCAGCTTAAAAAATCTTTAAAGTAAATTTGAGATTGCAGTCTAATTTGAGGTTAATTATAGAATTTGTAAGTTCACCTTTATTCCTTCAGATAGGAAATACATATATTTCTCTCTTCAAATCAGTTTTTGATTTTTGATTGCCTGGACTAAACCCTGCAGTTTTTTGGCAAGATTTTTTGGAAGTGGTTTGCCATTACCACCTTTCTAGGGCTGAGAGAAAGTGATTGTCCCAAGGTCACTGAGCTGGCTTCGGGCCTAAAACAGAACTGGAACTCATAACCCTCTGGTTTTTAGCATGATACCTTAACCACTACACCAAACTGACTTTTTCCTGTGTGTTATTGGTAATTATAATGTGTGTTCATTTGAATGGTACACTTAATATTAACTGTGCCTGGAAAAATCAATTTAAGATATTAAAAATATTTCACTAGGGAGGTCTACTATTTCTTTCAATCCAGTTTAGTGCTTGATCTTGAAACACACTGACTATATAGTGGAAGTAATGTAAATTATTAGTTTATTACAACATATAGTTCACATCAGAGTTCCCCAACCTTTCTTGATTGGAGGCTTTGGGAAGGAGGGAATGGTTTTGAACAAGGGGCAGGCATGCGCGCGGACATAGAGCTTCATTTGTGAGTGCTCATGTGAGTAGGGCTGCATGTGTACACATGCTCCCCACCGCTGTTGTTCCTTGGTTTTGAATGGCCTGCGGCCTAGGGGTTGGGATGGAATCCCTGGGGTAGATTGCTTGATCTGATGAATTTTTTATTCTAAATTATGATATGTTGCTGTTTTATTGTACTACATTGCTATATCTTAGTCTTTATAGTTTTATTATCAATAATTAGTAATTTTTCTGAAATGATGTTTACAGAATTTTGTTAATCTCTATAACTTTGCTATTACTTTGTTAATTACCTTAAATTTTTATTCCTAGGATGATTGTAATCTTAGTCAACAACTGAAACAAAGATTGATGGTGATGAGTTTAGTGTATGTTTTGAATTGCTATGATTTTTTAATAAAATGTAACGTAATCAAATGGAGTCTGTAATTTCTGTTTCAGGTTATTATATAAATCACCGTGTGTACATTGTGTTTAATTTCATAATTTCAAATATTTACTTGAAGTAGGAACAATGGAATCCACATCCAATCCTTTAACTGCTCTACACTTTACTAGTTAATCTGACCATTATCCATGCATCTGTTTCGTTCCCCTCATTCAACCGGAGGGAATACTGATTTATTTGCTTGATTTTTATGTGTTACTGTTCAAAATGTAACTTTATTTTTCCAATCTACCAAACAGAAGTTAAGATAGAACTTGAATGTCCACAGTTTTTAAAACAGAAATTTAATTTATTACTCCATGCACACATATCCTTTTTTTTCTTTTTAGAATTGGTTGAAAAATGCCCAGGAGAAAGTTTGCAGATGAAGAAGTGGTAATGGGTAGATGGCCTGGAAGTGTGTTATACTATGAAGTAAAAGTAATCAGCTATAATGAACATACACATCTTTATACAGTTAAATATGAAGATGGAACTGAACTTAATCTGAAAGAAAATGATATGAGGGTAAGCAACCTTTGGAATCAGTAAATATATAAAGTTTGGTTAGCTTTCTTGTGAAGCTTTTGTCAATGATAAACAGTTTTGCATACATTTCCCAAAATTAAGTTTTATTTTGTTTATTATCTTTCCCTGTTTTATGATTATGCCCCTAAAGCAGCTTACAAATTATAAAATACAATAAATATTGACAAATTTCTAGAATCAGTCCAACAAAGCAGTTGGTACTTATGGCCCTATGAGCAGGGAAAGAAGAGTCGTAGTGAGCAAGCTTCTGTGATTGTTGCCTGCTGTCTGCCTTCTGTCCAAGTTTAAACTCATCAGAATTTCTCCTACTAATACTAACCACATATACATTCTTCTGGGAAGCATTATTTCTTTAAAGTATCATGATATTAAAAGTGTTTCTTTTTTGTGAAGCAAAGTGTGGGCAAGTTCTGATTCTATAGATCTGTGATGGCAAATCTATGGCACGCAGAGCCATTCTTCAGGGCACGCAAAGTGCTGACCTGTCAGCTGGCCAGCTGACTTCGGCCTTATTTTGAGGCCATTTTTCACCCTCCAGCGTCTTCCCTTAAGCCTCCAAAGCGGACTTCCGGTTTGCTCATAGGACCATTTTTTGCCCTCTGGAGCCTTCAGAAGGCTTTCTTGAAGGCTCCGGCAGGTGAAAAACAGCCCCTTTCATCCTTCGGAGCCTTCAGGAAAGCCTCCTGAAGGCTCCGGAGGGCAAAAAATGGACCTACGGGGAACCCGGAAGTTCGTGAATGGTGACTTCCGGTTTGTCTGTAGGGCTGATTTTTGTCCTCTGGAGCCTTCAGGGACCTTCAGGAGGCTTCCCTGAATGCTGTAGAGAGCAAAAAGTGGCCCTACAAGCAAACAGTAAGTGACTTCCGGTTTGTCCGTAGGTCCATTTTTCGCCCTACGGAGGTCAAAAATCGACCCTACGGACAAACCGTAAGTCACCATTTCTGAACTTCCAGGTTACATGTAGGTCTGTTTTTTGCCCCCCCGGAAGCTTTAGGGAAGCTCCTGAGGCCTCTGCAGGGCATCTGGGCGGGATGGGGAGGCTGTTTTGGCCCTCCACAGGTTCCTAGAAAGCCTCTGGAGCGTGGGGATGGTCAAAAAACCGTGGCAAAAGCGGGGGGCCTTGCTGATAGTGTGCATGCGCATCCACTGGGTGCGCACGCATAGAATTATGGGTGTGGCACGCTGGCGCATGCCCCCCTTGTGCTCCCCCCGCTTTTGGCATGGCAGCCAAAAAAGGTTTGCCATCACTGCTATAGGTAATATTGTATTCTATCAATTTGTTCAAAGTTATATATGATGGGAGTTAATCTCTGTATTTGAAAGTTTACAAATGTACAGTTGTTTTAACTGTAAATCTGAGGCACATCATTTGGGGATTAGTTCATTGCTTTCCAGAGGCATTTTAAAACCTGCAGATGTCCAGTAATTGTTACTAAATATAGGTTTTCTGACTTTGCATTTGATTCTTGCAATGTTTTGAAGCACCTTTCCCCTGCAAATGGACTAGACTCTGATGTATACTTATTAGTGTCACAAACTGATGAACTAACTAAAGAATTTCACTTAGGAAAAATCCTTATGGCTATTTTTGCTTTTGAATCTATTTAGCAACGTCAAGGAAATTAAATGTAATGTTCCAATCAGTTCTATTTTTCTATATAAGAATTTTAGCTGTTCAGTATAGCAAAACCTAGATTTAATATCTAGGAGAAATCTAGGAGAAAAGGGTGTCTTTTCAAGTTCAATGTCTCTAAAAGAACAAATGGAATGTTTGATTTAAAAAAAAAACATGTTTTGCATATGAGGAAAAAATTTGATCTGGCAGCTGATAAAGTTGATGCACCAAAGACAGGTCAGAGCTAAGGAGTCAAATGAAAGTGGGATTTCTAAGTCTGGGAGTTTCAGAGCTAGCACAGTCACCCAACCTAATAGATTAGGCCTATTAGAGGATCTCCTGGAGACTAAACAAACCAACTGACTAGGGCTACGTTGTACCAAATGTAACAGCTATCCAGATCTGATAGGTCTAAAAAATCCAAAATCTGTTCAATTGGGATTCATTAAATAAAGAGATTACTGTACATTCATGTATACCAGATCTTTGTTAAATATTGGAATCACATAGTGAAGTATGAAAATATAAAACTTTGTTTAAGCAACGTAAATAAAATTTGAACTTATGGAATATATTCATACTGATACATATAAACATTCACAATTATATTGAATTATACTTGCATTGTACACTGAATAGCCCATCTAAAGATAAGCCAACTCTCAATTTTTAAAACAAAGTACTATGAAAAATGCTCCTTCAGTAGATGAACTGACCTTGAAAAAATTTGTTTTCACAATTGGCATATTCATCAATTATTATCATTCATTTTCCTATCTCTTCTAATTGCCATATATTGTTTATTAATTCATTTTCAAACAAACATAAAATAATGTATAATAAAAACGAACACTTTTCTGTACACACACACACACACACACACACACACATACACATACACACATACACACACAGAGACAAAAGTGAGAAATGTTACATAATAACATGCATGATAAGAACAGAACAATCTTTACAATTATAACCTGGATTCACCTGATCTTGTAAATCTTTTTTAAAATAATAAACCCCCTAATCTTTCAATGTTTCCCTAAACTTCCTGATAATTTTTTTCAAAGAGAAAGATAATGTAATATTTTCTAATTAACCAAATATCTAATTTTCTCAGAACTGCTAAATCCCACATCTTCTGAAATCCATTCTTTAGAATTATAGTATTTTTTCATCTCATAAGGACTATTCTTTTTGGTATTATTATAGCATGGAAAACTCATCTTTTTTTAACTGTAATTACATTTTAAGTAATTGTATATAATTCAGCAATATACTCATATTTAGAAGCCAGATATTTTTCAATAATTTTCTCAATGTAAAATCTAATAATATTCAAAAAATGGCATTGGAAGGACTGCTCAATTTGATCAAAATATTGTTTTGGAATAAAGATTGTTTATATATCAAACTTTGTAACCATCTATCTCCCTCATAGATAGCTATTGCTCCTGAAATATACACAATCCTAGAAGTTATATTCATTTAAATTATATTTATTATGCCCCAGCAAGTCAAAGGTATCTTAAAGCCAGCTGGGTAATTTTTGGCCAGTCATGCTCTCTCAGCTCAACCCACCGCACAAAGTTATTGCTGGGAAAATAGGAGGAACGAGTTCACCGACTGAAGTATTCATAAAAAATGAAGGTGAAGTGAAAGTATATTTTAGGAATATAAATCCCTAAATCAGTGATGGCTAACCTTTTTTGGTTCCCCTGTCAAAAGCGGGTGCGCAGAGGGGTCGTGCGTAGGCGTGCCACACCCATAATGCTATGCGCGCAACCCAGTGCGCATGTGCACATTCAACACCCCACCCCCACTTTTGGTGTGATTTTTTTTGCCCTCCCTAGGCTTTAGAGGCTTTCTAAAAGCCTGGGGAGGGCGAAAGTAGTCCTCCCCAGCTCTTCAGAGGCTTCAGGAAGTTCCCTGACGTTCCAGAGAGTGAAAAATGGTCCTGCAACCAAACTGGAAGTCTTTTCCTGAACTTCCAGTTTGCCCTTAGGTCTGGTTTTTCGCACTCTGGAGGTTTCAAGGAAGCCTCCGGAGGTCAAAAAAACAGCCTCAAAAGAAGGACGGTCAGCTGGCCAGTGCATTCGTGCATGCTGGAGCTGATAGGGCAACGGCTCACGTGCCCTAACGCATGCCATAGGTTCGCCATCAGGGCCCTAAATGTTGAATAAAATTAGTAAAACTCACAAATCCTATGTATGTACCATTATTTGTTACGACATTTGACCCTAAAGGAAATAAATTAGATTAACCCCAAATATTTTTTTATCCAGACTAAAAATTATATGACTAAATTTCATTCATTAGTAATTGTAATGAGGAAGTACAATTACTAAGCATAACAAATGTATCAAATGGCAAAAGGAAAAATCTTTTATTTTAAGAATCAACCTTTACTTCATCTGTATCGGAAGATGATTTAAATTGTATCTAATCGTTTCAAAACTAAATTAAACAGTACAGGAAGCAATGAGCAACCCTGTTAAGTACCGTGTTACCTTTAGATGCTGAGCAGTCTTTAATACAGTTCATATTAAGTTTTGAAGGTTATGATTAGGTATGGATTTCCTACATTTTTTTATAGATGTATATCAATATATTATTCACATATTGCCACAGTTATTAGAAATCATATTTTCTGAATCAGTTGTTGCATTTTCCTATCAGTTTATTATATTCACTCTTAGATGATGTTTCTGGAACTTGAGATTTAAAATAATGTGCCACTTTTAAATGAAAATATAGATATCAATACTTACTGCTAGCTAACTAAGCTGTAATAAAATAATTTTATTTTCCTTTTTTTCTAGTCTGTCTCATCTTTTCGATTTAGAAAAAGCAGCTCTTCCTCAGGTTCTCCATCAAGACGGAGTGGTAGCAGATCTAGATCAGGCTCTAGATCTCGTTCACCTGGTCGACCAGCAAAACACAAACGTCGTTCTTCTTCCCGAAGCAGAGAACCAAAAAATGAAAATAATATTGGGGAACCTAATCTGACTCCTTTGGTATTTGATTTGATCTCTCTTAACTCTTGTGATGAGGGAGGGGTGTATTACAAAGCTATATTCATATTTTGTTTTCAATTACTTTGAATTCCTTTAGATTTAATTAAATTGTTCATCAATGTGATCTAAAAGCTGTGTTAATTATGTTGCTATATGTTGCTAAAACTTAGATATTATAATGAAGTAGGAGCTTTACCTAGGTACACGTTTTTCAAGATGAAATAATGATATGGGAAATAATAGTAATGTAATCTGTTGTCAGCTGGCAAAATCTATTTGTCATAAAGCTATGCAGCTTTAAGGATACCTTTAAAATAAGTTTAATTGCTTAAAAAACACTACTCAAACATAGGCTCTTAATACCTATACAGATTGGAATCTGTAACCACATTGACTTTCAGTATTTTTCAAATGTTATAATGTAGCTTTTGATTGAAAATACTTATTTTGAAGGAAAATATGGTAAACATATTTAGAAATGTAATTTGTTTACGTTTCAATTTAATGTATGAAAGGGTTGGAATGAATTGGAACAGAGCATGCATCTGTGACAATGGTAAGAATTATTTGGTAGTTTTCCAAGGAAGGTAAGGTGTTACTTCAGGAACTTATAGTTTCCTGCACCTTGTTAGTCTTTGTTGCATATGCTTGTTACAAGACAATCCCTGCTCCACAGTTGCACCTGTTGTTATACCTAATGAATACTAACAATAGTCGTAAACGATGTTAACTAAAATTTGATACTTAAATTACTTTGATGACTTCTATGTGATTTTGTTCATTCTACTTTGGTTAAACCAAAGAAGCAATACATGATAAGATTCAATAAAAACTTGGGATATACAGAACCTCCCATTCATGAAAGCTACCTAATGACTCCTGGGATGGCTGGACTGGCATGGGTTAGAAGAGATTAGTTCAGAACTTTCCAGAATGTTCCATTTCTGAAATGATGGCTTTTGTGCACAAATTCAAGTAATTTGTCGCAGTTCACTAGTATCTGAAAAGTCCATCAAAATGAGAGTAAGATGATGGAGTTTAGTACAGATGTTGTTGAACATCAAAGTATGTATTTATATTTCATTATATTTAGACATTGTCCAACTGCTATTGACATTAATGAGAAGTACAGGAAAATATGGCACAGTAGTAACTATGCTTCAGTATAGGGCTTTTTGACTGAAGAATCTTCAAGCATTGTTGCAATAAAAGGATGGTAAACCAATGTTCTAATTTAAATTAGAATGCTACATTAAGTAGAATAAGGCTAGAGAATGTTTAGCATTACTGGTCTTTGTAACTAATAAAGATTTGATTTAAGTATGTAGCAATTTTCTAACAAATAGAAATCTTGTAAAAAAAGAAAGATTGTTTCTAAAGAACTCCAAAGGGAATGAATTCAAATGTATTGGTAGAATAGCCACCTGCCTTGGTCTATTATGGTGTATGTAGTCAACACAGAAATGTTGGCTACATACCATATGCTTCTTTCAGTCAGAAACAAATGCTTCTCCGGGGAACTGGATTGGACAGAACCTAGACAGATTAGATGGCTTATATCTCCATCACTTAGGATCAGTAGTAACCTTCTTCATCTGGAAATTGAGCTAGGCATATAATTCTTGAAAACAACCCCCCGCCACCCAGGGAAGTTGCAGCTTCACTTTTCAAGTTTGGAAAGAATCAAAAGTTAATTCTAAAGATTCCCATCTTGGTAGCAAAAATCCTGGAAATTATCCATTTCCCCTTTTGGCTTTAGCATTACTGTTTACTTCAGGGTGCAGAAGTCAGATTTACAGATAAGCAGCATGTAAGTGTCACAGGTTTTCAGCCTCTTAAGTATTCTTTCCTAACCTTTATGATTACAATAGCATGATTCCNTGTTCGGCTGCAGGGTCCTGCCCTTGGGACGAAACTTGGGTATGTCCCATCTCTGGACCATCCTGCAAACTCATTCTGGAAAATGACAGTTGGTCTTACCTGAACTGTTATTTTAAGAGGTCTTTGCAGGATGGGCCAGTTCCCACCCTAGGTTAGATAGACAGTATTGTGGGGTGGAGGTGTCTCCTTTGTGACTTGTTTTCAGGATCTCCGGAGCGCATATTGCATTGAAACTGGAGTCAAAGGAGAGGAGCCCAGAGGCGTGGCTTCAGCTTCAACCCAGTCTCAAGGCCAATTGGCTGTGATAATACCATCTCTTAAAATAATAGTTCAGGTAAGACCAACTGTCATTCTCACTACCACCTGGTTCTTCCAGGCCATAGGACTGATTCCCACTCCACCAGATCAAACATCCTTCTCCTCACTTATTTTTTGAAGAGGACCTTTTGAAGTTAAAGTATTTGCTTATATTTTGTAGCTTAAGAATTGTTTTAAATGTGGTCTCCCTTTTGAAAAAAAACCACAAATATTTGTAGAGTGCAGATCTCAAGCTGGTCAGTTAAAATGTGATTCTGACAGATGACATGCTTGTATGGCAAACTGATTGTGACGATAAATTTGTTCTCTCTTCAAGATCCTATTGCATCCCAAAGCTGTACTAAAGACACTAGGACTAAGAGGCCTTTCACTTATTACTAATACTACTACATAAAGCACATGCTGAAGAAAGCAGGTTCCTGTATATACCCTTTGCACTAAGAAAAAGTGACTTACATGGAGCATAATAAAAAGGTCTTTTAAAAATCACTCCTATCAAGCTGAGGAGTCATGAATATTTTTTGCAGTACATTCTGAAAATAAGTCATTTGCAAAGCTATTAAGGGATAAGATTCTGTCCATTGAAACTAGATAGCTCTACATTATTAAAATACAAAAATTCTTGGCGATATGAAATTCTATCCATTTCACTATAAATACTGATTGAACAAAATTTTGCAATTTTATTTCATACATATGGAACTGATAATTCCGTAATAAATGTACATATGCTGTCTCTAACATGAGTTACATAACAACCTATAGTTATATTAAATTAATTTGNTTATTATTATTATTATTATTATTATTATTATTATTATTATTTAGTGCATTTTTGAGTACTTTCTATAATTGTTAGTACAAAAAAAGCATAAAATAAAATTACTATATAATATGATTCAAATCTTTATTCATTGTCCATAAATCTGGTTTCTTTTCATGTCTATGCTTAATATTTATTATATTTATATAATATATAGTTATAACTACAAAGTTTAATTGTAACTTTTAATAAAATAATTTCTCTTTAAAATATCCTGTTTTTTCAATCCAGAGGCTTCATGAAAATAATACAAATCAGTATAATGGGGAGCCAGATATCACAGAAGTGAATTATTCTACTCATGCCACTTTAGAGGTATGAAACATAAAATATTCTTTTTTTTTTTTTTTTCTGACGGGATCTGCAGCATGCCTTTTCTAGCAGCATGGGTGAGGTTGGTCAGTCCCATTCAGTGGTTCCTCAGATAGCCTGGGCCCATATCATGAAGATCTTTAAAAGCGATAGCCAATACCTTGAATTGTATCCAGAAGCAAATTGGCAGCAATGATGTAACATGGACATACACACCCCATGGGCCTCAAGAACTGACCTTGCTACCACATTTTACACCAGCTTTAGCTTCCAAATACTCTTCAAGAGTAGCTCCATGTATAGAGCATGAGATGACCAGGGGCTTGCTTTAGTGGCTGAGTGCAGGGGCTTCCAATCCAAGAAATGAACTATTGGAAATATTGACCAACAACAAAAACAAATGAGAGCAATAATACTTGATCTGAGGAGGGTTCTTTAGTACATATTAATGAATGATAGCTATTTTCTGTTCCCCTCCCCCCTTTATGCTGTTTGTGTGTAGCGGCAAAGAATTGAATCTGTGCGAAGAAGAGAACGCATTCTGGAACAATATAATTTGCATCCTAGAAAGGAGGAGAAGGGAAGAGAGGAGATGTATTCAGAAGAGAAAAATTTTGAAACACCAAAAAGTATTGAAAAAGTATGCTGGAAGACAAAAGAACTGGAATTTGGAGGAAAAATCGGTATGCTAGTTTTGAAAGTCATAAACTATAGTTGCATAATAGTCTGAAGCCTTTGATGCATAACTGAAGTTTTAAACTTTCCATTCACATCAATAAAGAAAATGATTTTGAACATAAGAGAAGGTACAGCTACTGTTTTAGTTGATACCAGTTATCTTTCTTGCTGGAAAGCTTCCTTGGAATTGAATTGATTCTAATCATTGTATAACTTTTTTTTTAGGTGCCTTCTTTATGATATTTCTTCTGCCTGGAACCGTGTTCTGCCTGTTGTTAATGTGCTCACAGAAAGACCCTAGTCTTCTGAATTTTCCTCCTCCACTACCAGCTTTCCAAAATTTATGGGAGACGAGAGTGTTTGGTGTCTTTCTTCTTTGGTTCTTTCTCCAAGCCCTATTTTACTTACTACCGATAGGAAAGGTAAAACTTTTAGAAGTAAAAATTTGATTTTTTAAAATGTAATTTATAAAACAGCATTTTAACTTAATACTGATATTTCTAAACTAGCATTTTTTAAAATCCTGTTTTATGTAGTATAAATGTTATTTGAAACCTCCCATTATAAAATGGTTACATGAGGTGAAGAGAAATGCTAATGTATCAGGTTCCAAGGGTATATGTTGATAGAGGGTTCTTGTTTTAGTTTTGCCTTTCTTTTTTAATGAGCATTTTATAGATTCTTTTTGTGCCACATTTTCATCCAGGGTAATGATTTTTCTTGTGAAATATTAGAATTCTACAAATCATTCAATGTATAGAATGGATCTGTCAGGGATTTTGAACTAGGTGAAGGAAAAGGGAGTAGGCAAGGCTTTCATTCTTTTCTACCAAATTCTGGTTGGAATTCTATTTGGGGACGCTCCTGTAGAATAAAACCTCTAGATTCCAGGGATTGGATGCTAAACAAAATGGCATTCTTCTTTCAGATAATATATTGTGATGGATACAGTAGTTCTAGTCCTTTCCTTTTCCAGATTGGCTTTATAACTGTGGAAAGATCTAGTGCAGGTAGTGCTTGACTTACAATCATTTGTTTAGGTAGAAACTGTTTGAAGTTACAATAGCAGTGGAAAAGTGACTTCTGACCTTTTCTCACAAATACGGCTGTTGCAGCATTCCCATGGTCATATGATCAGAATTCAGGTGCTTGGCAACTGGCATGTATTTATGACAGTTGCACTGTCCCAGAGTCAAGAGATCACCATTTATAACCTTCCCAGCTGACTCCGATAAGCAAAGACAGTGGGGAAAGCCAAATTTGTTTAATGACTGAATGATTCGCTTAACTTACTTAACAACAAAAATTGGGGGCTCAGTGGTTAGTCATAAGTTGAGGACAGTGACGTGTGGTGAGATTTATGGTTGGTGAGGCAAAAAGAAAGACGTAGCACTCTCCCCGGCACTTGAAAGCGGGCAAAAGACGCCCTGCCGTTATGTCCGCCATAGAGGCGTCCCGCCTCTATGGTGGACACAACGCCGGGGCGTCCAAAAGCCCTGCTGCTATGTCCAAAAGCCCTGCCACTATGTCCAAAAGCTCTGCCGCTGTGTCCAAAAGCCCTGCTGCCATGTTTGACATAAAAAAGTCCCCCCCCNAATAGCATGATTCCTCCATCTCTTAAAAACAAATCCACTCGTTTCACTCTTCTGGAGCACCAGTCTGGTTAGCTTTCATGCTCCACATTCATTTTGTGCTGGTTTTGCCTCCCTCATTCCTGCCAAACAGAAAGGAAGAAAGTGACTGACCTAGGAGGAGATTGACAATTGAACAGTTATACAATTCCAAAATGCTGGTTTTCTTTCTTCAAAATATATAAGGTGGCTTAGGATTTTCTGTTTTCCTTTTTGGAAGTTTTTGGTAACATATTAATATTTGAATGGATAAGTCCAATTCTTTGGATCTGTGCATTTTCCTGTTGAAGGAATTCCTTGATTTTCTCAGGTTCCCTTAATAACAGTCTCTTAGCATTCTTAGCGTCTACAGCAAATTTATTAAGGATGGAAAAGATATTTCAAAGCACCCAAGATGACAGCTGGTCATATGATGATAGCTTTCTCAGAAAAGCTTGGTGATAGCTTTCTCAGAAAAGCTTCTGCAGGAGATAACCGAGCAGCTGTACCACCTCTTTTGCCAGGTTTTCATTCTGTAGTTGAAACAGCTGTTTGATTTCATTCTTGGTGAGATCAGACAAAGAATCAATAATTAGGGAAAGGCTGCAGTCCTCTGGCTGATTCTAGCTTAGGTAGTATTCAGTTTACAGCTAGAGGTTTATATGTCTTAGCCATGAGATAATATTTTAAGAATTAGAGAGTCAACTGTATCATAGCGTGCCTTTGATCAGGAAAAAAAAGTCTTTTCAGAACATGTGAAACTTTAATTGAAAACAAGTTGTGCTACATCGGAGACAAATTATTTGTGTATTTAACCACACTTGGCCAAATAAATTGTTCTGCTCTATTGAAAACCTCCAAGAAGGCTGCATTTAGCCTTATTTGTCCTCAATATGAATTTATGTTTTTGAGGGTTTCAGAACCATTTACAGTAAGCAAATGCGGGTTTCACTGAAACTACGAAAGAGAGATTCCTACCACCAGAGATTCCTACCAATCATCTCCATAAGGAAGAGATGTACCATCAATAACAGCATCCTATTTTAGGAAGAGATTGGATGCCCTTATGCTATTGATATTAAACCACTTTGGATTCCTGGCATTGACTTCTAATCAGAGCAGCAGTGTATTTGAATAAATATCACTCTTTGATACCAATACAATATTTTTATTTTAAAAACTTTTTAGTTGATCCAATTTCAGTTGATCCAAATTCATTGTTTGAATTAGCAGAGATGGTTTACAGTTAATCCTTAAGTAGTAATTGGGATCGGAATTTCCATCACTAAGTGGTGTAGAGAGAAATAGAATGCTCTGGAATTCTTTAAATGGCTTGGCCCTGGATTGCCAATGTTGCACATACTCTGCATCACAGAACTTTAAAGATAAAAATGTAATAGTACTTTTTGATATTAATAAGCTTAAGACTTTATCATGCCTATTAAGGTTAACTAATTAAATGTCGTTGAGGACAAAGGAGAAGGGCAAGAAACTATTATGATTCCTTCAGACTTTAGCTGTAAATCTTCAAAGTACATATCAGGCGCACATACAGTACAGGCAGAGAGATTAAGATATAAGACAAAACACCAGTTCAGATCAATCTATAGAGTAAAGAATGTTCTGAGAGTAGTTTGATATTTTTGGAAGTATAGCCTCAGAAATAGAATTGGATCAAAGTGTTTGGGATATGTTTCTGATGAAATAGGCTTGTTTCGGGGTTTCAATGCTTCAAATTGCTTCCAGTTTTGAGGATTTACTTGCAGAAATTGTAGAACCATTCCCCCCATGGAAAATCATCTTGGTAACTTAAGACATTTTAAAACAAACTATTAAAATTGTTATAGAAGGTTTGGATTTTATGTTTTGCCAATAAATTAAATGTTAATTTTGTGTTTTTGCATGTTAGTAATGTTACCAACCAAAGGGTAATTAGATTTATTATTATTATTGAATTGTATCACAGCGCCAGTTGTTTCGCCGCATTTGGCATTGATTACTAGTCGGGCCCCACCTAGGGGCCTAGGACGTCGTAACGTATTTTAGTAATATGCGTGCAGATCCAAGCAGTGCGGCTTTTTGCATTTGACT